TTCACAGTGAAACCCTATCTTGAAAAACAATAACAACAACGAATCATGAAAATATCAATACATGAGATTTTAAAAACCAAAATTCGGATTTTGGTTCACAATCACATGCAATCAGGAAAGGGCTGCTTGCAGTTACCATGTTCTTAAGTCCTTATGATGAAAGGGGATATCCAGGAACCAGAGAACTTTCAATTGGATTGTGCACCAAAAACAAACAAACAACAACCATAACAAAACAAAAAAAGATCAGGAAAGTTCAGGAGTGAACTAAGAGAATACTGGATACAACTTCCAAACTAGCAGAGACGTGAAACAAAAGTAGACTAAACATCTGTGATGAAGTCAGCCTGAAGATGGCTCAGCAGATAAGAGTGCTTGTTGCCAAGCTTGAGGATCTGAGTTCAATTTTGATGATAACACACATTAGAAGAGACTTAACTTTCACAAGTTGTCCTCTGACCTCCACACAAGCACTGTGGCTTACATGCACGTGTGTATATACGTACACACACACACACACACACACACACACACACACACACACACACACGCACGCACGCACAAAATAATGATAGGATTGTATTACAGGAATGACATTTCTAGGAAACAATCCCAGAAAACTTCCTGCTCCTCTGGCTCTTACAATCTTGCCACCTCCTCTTCTGCAATGATCTCAGAGCCTTAGGTGCAGACTCAGTTGTTTATTTGTCAGTTTTGTCCAGGCTCCACAACTCTATTTGGGTTGGTTATGGTTTTCTCTAATGGTATCCATTTGTTGCAAAGAGAAGTTTCCTTAATAAGGTATGAGAACTACACTTATCTGTGGGTATAAGGACAAATATTTAGAATGTAGTAGGGATTATGACAGTTTAGTAAAGTAGCATTTGTAGCTTCTCTTCCAAGATCCATGACTTCAACTAGCACAAAGTTTCCAGTACCAATAATAATTCCCCTCTGGTTGAGAAGGTCTTAAATCCAACAGAGCTGCTGGTTCCTTTGGAAGCTTGCATGAGATCATCAGTAACCATGAAAGCTAGTCCTTAAGAAGCAGGCTTTAAGGTTAGACCACATCAGATCCTCTAAGGTACGTGGTATCTTCAGCAGTAGGGACTTATCCTTCACCTCCAGGGATCAAGTGATGGCAATGTCAATAGCCTATGATGTTTTAGGAGTGTCATGGAAACCTGACCAAGAAATCAAAAGAGGGATTCTTATGCCTGGGTTGGGGTTTTTGTTGACTCCTGGGGAGAACGTTGTCAGTCTGAAAGGGGAAATTCCATTTAATCTATATATGGGAAGTATACAGACTTGCATGTATTATAGATACTTTAAGGTTTGGTTAATAGTATGATTTTTTTTTTGTTATTTTTTTTTTAGCCTCCCCTTTCTAGTTAGAAACCCCATATAATGTATTTTGATCATATCCCTTGTTATCCTCTATGCCTTTCCAGCACCACTGAACTCCTTCTTCCCAAGTCCCCTCCTAATTTCATGTCTTTGTGTGTGTCACTGAGTTTAATGAGGGGTGCCTGCATGAACACAGCTGGGGGCTATTTACTTGAGCAGAAATACAAACCCTCTTAAGTGCATTTGGAACATTTAAAAAATTGGCCATACCTGGACACAAAACAAGTTTCAAAAGGTTTCTAGTGGGTGGAAACAGATGGCAGACACTTGTATTGGTTTTCTAGGGCTACTGTAATAAGTGATCACAAAGCCAATCTTTAAAACAGAAATTTATCATTTTATAGTTCACTAGATAGAGCCAGAAGTCCCAAACCAGTATTACTATTCAGAAATCAAATTGGTGACGGGCCTTTTATCCTCCTGAATTACTGGGGAATAACTGTTCTGTGGCTGCCAGCAAGGTAAGGCTTGTAGCCTTGTCACTCTGATTGCTGCCTCCATGGCCTTGTTGTCCCCTCCCTCATCTGTAATCACCTGTGTCTATTCCTGCAGATACTCTTGTGATTTTACTTAGGAGCCATCCCATAATCTCCCTCAGCACCCTCCCACCACCTTCTCAATCTCGAGATTCTCATTTTTTGGTTTTCTATTCAAGACAGAATTTCTCTGGTAGTCCTCGCTGTCCTGGAACTAGCTCTGTAGACCAGGCTGACATTGAACTCACAGAAATTGACCTGCCTCTGCCTTCCCCAAGAGCTGAGATTAAAGGCATGTGCCACCACATCTGCAAAGACCCCTTTCTGTGTAAGGTCACTATTGTTCAGACAGTGTCTGCGGTGTTATTCAGAGACACGACAGCATGCTGGGTTCTTAGTACTTCAAAGGTATTAATGCTTGTAAGCCAGAAGAGGTGCTGTTTCCATTCCCCATGGGACAGGCTGAGGTAGGCATCAACACCCATCCTGAGCTTATCCATTTGCAGCTCTGACCTATTAAGAGAAGCCAGTTAGCTTCCTATTTTGAAATTCCAGATTTACAGGAAATTCACAACCAGAATAAACAATTTACAAATACTTTCATCTAGATTCTCCACATATTAACGCTGAGCTTTGTACTATCACTCCCTCGTGTGTTTTAGTGAGTTTTTGGAGACCTGGTTGCACATACCATGTTGCACTCTCCCTGAAAAATGTAACAGAACACTTAAAAAGGGGGTGGTTGTGGGATTTCTATCAAGTTACCAAAGTATAACTGTGCAAACTCAGGAAGCCCTAATTTACTGATCTTCACTTACTAAAGTGGTCTAGTGTTACACTAAAAGAGAATGGATATAGAACTGGATCCAACACATGACTATTAAATGCTGCACTCACTTGTCACATCTCTTTAAGTCTCATTTGAAATTTGAAACTTTGGACAAGTATAGGCTCACAGATTGTGACATCATCTCTGAATACGTCCAGGCTGGCCTTGAACTTGAGAGTCTCTTGCCTTAGCATCCCACTCGCAGATATTATAGGTGTGCAACCCCATGTCCAGCTAGGTGCAGAATTTTGTAGACTATTCCTTGATTTATAGCTTGTCCTGCAACTTCTTGACTAGACTCAGGTTATGCATTGCGGTTGGGCATTGTGTTGGCTAAACGTCTTTGTGCAGCACAACAAGATGCACACACAGAATATCGTCTTAATGGGGACTGGAGAGATGGCTTAGCAATTAAGAGCACTAGTTGCTCTTCCAGAGGACCTGGGTTCAATTCCTAGCACCCACATGGCAGCTCACAACTATCTACTACTCCAGTTCCATGGGATCTGATACCCTCTTCCAGCCTCTTTGGGCGCTAGATGCATACGTGGTACTGACATACACATAGGCAAAACAAAATATCCATACACATAAAGTAACAAAAAGTCAAAAATTGTCTTAATAACGGCAATATTTAAAGTGTGCTCCTGCCTCTTTTGAGAGACCTTGCAAAAATAAAAACTTGAAGTTGGCAGTGGTGTGTTGGGATAATATAGGGAGACTTGGAGAGCAGCAATAGGGGGCAGATATGATATCTCATTGGTTGTATGTGTGAAATTCTCAATACTCTTGCTATATAGTCCTGGATGCATCAAACAGCTGATGCTAGGGATTCAGTGCACTTGCCCAGAATACACGAGGCCGAGTTTAATCTCCAGTACCATCAAGAGCAAAATTATAAAAAATTAACTCAAAAGAGAAACAGGTGTGGTAGTCCACACCTATAATCCCAGCACTTTCGAAGCAGAGGCAGGAGGATTCTAAGATCAAGGCCACCCTCAGCTACAAAGTGAGTTTGAGGCCAGCATGTATGGGATACATGAGACCTACTTAGAATGTGCTTGTAAAGCCAGGAGAGGCACTATTTCCATTTCCCAGGGGGCAGGGCTGAGGTAGAGGCATCAACAGCCCTCCTATAAAGAATATAAAATTGACAACAGAAAGCTGAACGTTATGACTACAAAATATGCTTCACTGCTTGAATGACTTCAAGTATATGGTTTTAGTAAAACTTCTCAAGGCAGTTACTTGCAATTTGTTTTCTTGTCATTACTTTCATCCTTGAGTGTTAAACACAAGAGAACACCTGCCACTATGAAGCAGCTAATGCTGTAGGAGGATAGTTTTGAAGCTGCTAAGGGATTCCCAAGCTAGGATTACAGCTATAGGTTATAGGAATTCAGGGTTAGGGTTATAGGAAACAGATACCCTGCAGTGTATCATGTTTGTAGACCAATCCTTTTCTCTGCCTACAAGTGCAAAACTGCCACCTCTCAACCAAAACTACCAGACCAGCCAAAGTGGAAGTACACAGAAAATACCACCAGGTTACTAGTTCTATAGCAAACTGATGGGGGAAAGAGGGCAAAGATTTGTTTTTCATAAAGCTAAATGTCTCTCTCTTTCTCTTTCTGTGTGTGATGGGAGATGTCATTCTGTAAATATGTTTCTCTTATTGGTTAATGAATAAAGCCCTGTTGGCCCATAAGAAAGCAAGATAAGTGGGACAAGGAGGATTCGGGGAGAGGTAGGAGAAGATTCAACATGTAAAGACTTGAGGAAGAAGAACTTCGGACCCTCTCTCCGGTAAGATAAGACCACGTGGAAACACTTAGATTAATAGAAATGGGTTAATATTTAAGACAGAGCTAGCCAATAAGAAACTCTAGTAACAGGCCAACAGCTTTATATCTAATACAGGGTCTCTGTGTTATTTGGGGCTGGTGTAGCTCTGGGACCAGGCTGGTGGTTAAACTGCTCATTAACGTAAGTAAATGTGTGTGTGTGTTGAGGTGGGGGGGGGGGCATGCTTTCCTGGCTGGTGAAACTAACAGTTTGAAATATTTAAACACTTCGATCAACTAATTTTTAAAAATAGATTTGCTGGTCTTTCAAACTAGGAATGTTAGCCTACAAACACAATGACAGTCCATGCATATTTCTTAGTATTGAAACCTTCCTGGTGACATCCTGTGTAAACTTTGATACTTATAGTCAGCTTTAGCTTACTTTAGGCAGTGTAACTAGGGCTTAATTTCTATCATCAAAAATATACTTTCATTCAATAGCATGGTTGCATCATTTTTTATTATGAATTCTAATGGGACACCAACGTAGAACAATGCTATTTCCATGACCCATCCCTACCACAGAAGGAGTCTGTCATTACAGACGAGTAGTATGGATGCAACACATTCATATAGAAAGCTGGGTGTCCAAGCAGGCTGCTTTCCTGGGTCCAGTGGTACCACAGGATGTTGTTGGTCTTGATGTACATCTTGGCCCACTTGCCTTTACATTTCAATCCCACTATATAGCATTCAGTATTTACATACATTTGAACATAGAAGGGATAACATTTGTGGAGTTGTGTGTCAGAAAGAACTCTGTATTTCGATTCTCTTTATGTCATTAGCTACTTTTGAGAAGCATAGTTCCATATAAACACATGAGCTGGAACATACATTTAGAAAACCTTAATCTATGTAAAATGCATTGTGTCTATCCATAAAAAAATCAACTAAGCCCTGTTCCCTCTAATGTTAAACAACAAAAAAGTAGCTAGCCATTACACTTGATAGTAGGGTCCAGACAATATAGATGGTAATCACTGGCATTCTGGGCCAGATGGATTCAATGTTTACTTCTGTCATTCTGGGGATTTGTTCCTTTCTGTCAAAGTGTTCTCATACATTTGGCAAGAACACTTACATTAAACTTCAAATTACACCTGGTTATATCCAGAATATATTTTAGAAGCCATTAAAAGGAGTTAATTTTTCTATAATTATGCCAACATTCAGCCATGTTAGTAATTACTGAGAGAACAGTGGAGACTCTGGGGACAGGTAGGTGCCCTGGGTCAACATGTACAGGCCCAAGCATCAGGTGCCCTGGATGAACATGTACAGGTCCAAGAAACTGGTCAAGCGGTTCAACGACTCATCAACACTTAGTTCTTCTTAGTTTTCTTCAGATAGTGATTCCGCAAGGACTTGTTGAAACCCATAGTTATTTTAAAATAAATCCAACGAGGCAAGATTGAGTTTATTGAACCCTAGGAAAAGAAAGTGGGAAGATGAGGGCTCTATGATGGTGGATAAGGTAGTCATCAATCTCATTATCAGGGAAGGGCATTTATAGTAGCCTTTCCACTATTGTTCAAATTGTTAGTTGGGGTCAGAAAAAAGAGCAACTAAACTCAAGGGTAATAACAAAAGTACAATAAATAATAGAGAAAGCTGTTGAACATACTTAAAAATATATAACCTAAGATGTTAAATTTATATATGAGTAAACATATATACCAAAAGAAAAAAAAAAAAAAAAAAAAAAAAAAAGAAAATTGGGGATACATAAGCAGAGCTCACAACTGAGCTAAACTGAAGTCTATCTATTGGCCATCTTCCATTTCTCTACACTATTACTTATACAGATTTTAAAGTTCTTAAGTATACAGTTTGAAATAAAATATGTCTGTTTCAGGATTAAAGACATATACCTCCTTGTCTGCCAAAGTATACATCTTGATACTAAGAGACCATATAGAAAGAAATGTCCAAACTGAAAAATATGGTTAAGATTTAGAAATATACATACCATGAGAGCATGGACCACATATCCAGTGGTTCGGGACTGCAAACCCACTGTTTTAATTGCAGACTTCACAAATGTCTCTGGAGAGGGCTTATCCAAAGTTGGCCTCCGTATTTTTGCAAGTTTTGTAGCTACAAAGTATGGCAGGACACTCTAGAAAGGGTTCACACACATAACAATAAGAGAAAAAAAAAAAAAAAAAAGAAAGAAAAAAAAAAAAAAAAAAAAGAAAGAAAAAAAAAAAAGAAAGAAAGAAAAAACAACTGATTAGGAATGCTACCAACTCAGAACTGAGTGTGAAGCCTGACGGTTGGTGGTAGTAGAAGCATCCTCATGAAATCTAGAGTTTGTATCTTTAGAGAGAGGGAAAAAGACACACCGCTATCTAAAGCCAACTTCACAGAACATACAACAGCAAAATCATGAACTGTAACACAATGACCTTCGGGTAAAATACAACTTGAGACTGGGAAATATGAAAAATAAGCAGAAGCAACCATTTTTGTATCTTTACAAGGAAAAGCAGGGGGCAGAAATCTGGGAGCTGAAGGTCAGGATGGCCTTCCTGTCCTGGACAAGCAGGACTCTGCTTTGCAGTCAAGCAGCACGAGCTTTCTATCTGAGGGGAGCAGGGCTTTACTTCAGCACTCCTGGTGAATTAGCATGTTCTATCAGCTTTAGTCCTTCTCCAGGAACGTTTTGCGCCCCCAGCCTTACATTACCACTTCTCTTCCCTCATGTCCTAATGTCCTGCTCCTGAAGTTATACACACTGCTATTTTTAAGATAGGACCACATCTTTTTTGGCCCCTCTGCTTTGGGAAGAGATGGTATAATAAGAAAATAGCTTGGGTGACAACAGTCATATGACAGAATAGGTGTAGGGTTGCCAATGTAAACATGAGCTTTTCCAGGCATTTCATGAACGCCAAGTTCTCCACTGCATATGCACCCAGTGTTTTAAGTGTGACAGAACACAAGGGACCCCCATCATAATAAGTCTTGAAGCCATGATGAGAGAGGTTCCTTCTGTGATCCAAAAGACCTCAGGTGTACACAGTTGCTCAACAAACACTTGTTTCCCTCACAAGTGTGGAAGAAGGGATGAGGTGTGTTGGTACTGCTATATAAGAAAGGACCAGTTCAATATGTGGTTGAAATGAAAAATGTTCCTATTACAAATAAAGCTGAGGTCTTTCCACACTTTTGATTTCTTTCCTGCTGATAGTGGAAGGAACAGTCCCACATCTCTTTGGGGGTTTGCACATACATGTATTCTTTATAATCTTGTATCCTCACTCCCAAGTATAAATCAAAGGATATAGTTCACAGTCCTAACTGGTGTGATGCTCCATCTTTCTCACTCTTGCAGGCAGAGGCAAACCCACACTAAGTAACAGTCACTAGAGCACATCAACAGTAGGGTGATGGTGACTTTGATTATGTAATTGATTTCTGAGGATTCCTTTATTGAGATTATTAATACAAGTAAGTGTGGGTGTTATAGCTCTGGAGGCTGGACAAAGTATCCCAACTTGTTGGGAAGTAGGGCTAGACCTGGAGCTGGGGCGCGGTGGGGGATGGTCTCCCCACAGGATGTAGCAATCCTGCTCCTCTCCTAGAGAGCCATTACAGCTGAGATCTGCTTTGTTCCATGGGCTAGCAGAGCTATCTGTTCCTTCTGCTCTGCTCAGCTCCAGCCCAAGATGTTACTCCTTCTGTTTCACTCTGTTAAAGTGGAAGCCCAAGGAGAAATATAGCAAACTCCTCAGGCTCTGGCAAAAAGTTATATTTTCTGTTCAACTCTGAAGGGAAGATTAACTTCCTTTTTGTTGTTGTTGTTTTTTGTTTTGTTTTTCAACAGCCCCCTAAGGAAGCATCTCAGCAAAGGTTCTTCTGTCCTGGGCTAGCAAAAGAAGATCTTCACCAACACTCTTTTAAGAGATGTATTTGGGAAGGAGGAGTTTAGGAGAGTGGCTGCTTTTGCCAGGGTAGGAAAGGACAGCCAGCAACTGAATAGGCAGAGGGGCTTATATAGGGCTTCTTAGGAGTGGAGTTGTCCTAGGGAGAAGGAATTCTAGGAACCTAGGAATTGGTTGGTTTAGCTAATCAGGGGCAGAGTTGGCTCTGTGTTTCTTTCACTGACCCCTTTGTAGCCTTTTGGCTCTATTTTCACGTTAAGGCATATTTCTTTCACTGGCTCTGGTTCTAGGTAGGGCCAAAGTATGTTTCTTTGGTACTGGGTTCAGAGCTGAAGCGTTTCTTTCACTGGCTCTGGGTTCAGGGTCAGGTTGCTAGATTTCATTGGTTTAATGCTCAGTTGGTCATTAGCAGAGCTGGCTCTGGTTTCAGTGTTTCTTTCACTGGCTTTCTTCTTTCCTTCCTTCCTTCTTTCTTTTTCTTTTTTTAAAAATAGCTTTTTGGCTCTAGTTTTGGGGCCAGGGCATGTATCTTTCACTGGCTCTGGTTTCAGAGTCAGAGTGTGGTTCTTAGGTTCTGGGTTCATGACTAAGTGTTTATTTCACTAGCTTGGGTTTCAGATCCAGGTGTGTTTCTTGCACTCGCTCTGGTGTCAGGGCCAGGGTGGTTTTCTTTGGCTGGCCCTTTTTCCTACAAGTTGTACACATTTATCTCTTTTTTCAAAGAGCAAAATGTTCTGTCCATTTTGTGCCATCAGTATGAAGAGAGCCCAGGGAAGTCTTAGTTTGACAGGCAGTGAACTGTGGGGTCCAACTGTGGGGCTACCTGGAATAGCCTAGCAGCGGAGACCCTTTTGTAAACTCTGACAGCAGGTAACAACATGCATGTATACAGCTTTCCTCATCTTTTTGCCCCAGGCTCCTGGTTATAAGGAAGACTGAGAAGACCTTTCCAAAGAACAGTTTATAGGGGGTATTAAGAAGCCTTGAGCTCCAGAGATAAAGCCAGTCTGTAACTATGCCTTTTACCTGTGCATTATGCTTTCACCTTTCATTGTTTTTCTCTCTCACAAGATGTAAGTGGCATACATTGGACTATTTTGATAATTACAGAAGAATTCAGTTGCACTGCCTGACTGAACCACATGGTGGCACCACAAGATAACACATGGCTTTAGGGTTCAGCAAAGCCTGAGTTGGGGTTCTGATGGAGCTTCCAGTATGGGAGGGGGCAGGGAAAGACATGCGTACTTGGGAATTCCTGGTCAAGTTATATTTTCCCAACTAAGAAATGGAAATTCTAAGCTGGAAGGCTTGAGTACTTCCACCCTGGATATAAGGCAAGGTGGTCAATAGTGGCCTACTGAATTGTGAAGGGTTCAGAGAGGAACAGGCTAAGCCTTAAAGGAAAGAGGATTCAGCCCAGTAAAGATAAAGGAACATCAGGAGCAGAAAAAATCTGTGAAGAGCAGGGTATTTTCAGGGGGCTGCAAGGAGTTTGGTACAGTCCAGAAAATAAATCCGGGTAAGTTCTAGAACACAAGTTCAAAATAACAGTTGTATCCATCCCTATTCTCAGTGCTGAGAGCAGCATGTGGTACACAGCCAGGCAGTGGCCCTCTACTGAAGGCAGTATTTAATAGCACTTCACATGCAGAACATGGAATAGTACTGAGGCCCTTTCCACTGAGCCAGCATTTTAAATATTCTGAAGCCAAAGCAAGATCATCTGTCTCAACAAAGGCAAGTCTATTCATCTAGAAGTGAAGTATATTAAAAAGAATATGTAAAAGTAGAGAAATGTTTATATCAAAAAGCCACCAAGGTAAATAAATGCCCAAGAAAAATAATTAATGTATCTTCTGCCTATGCAGAAACCATTATGGGAAGCAAAATCAGAAATATACCTATACTTTTACAGAAAGTTTTTCAGCAGAATAAAACTTAAAAGTCATTTAAACTCAACAAATCACCATTACAAATTCTGCCCCCTCAGAAACAGCCTGACCCTGATAGCTATGGCTATGGGCAAGTACCCTGGTTTCCAAATTTAGAATCTCAAAATGGAAATAATTAGTTAGACCGTAAGGTAGAGCTGACACTGATGATGCCATGTCTCTGCTCACTTATTAAAATAAAATGTCCCTGGAAACCACACTATGGTATATTGGTCTCCCCTATTCCCTGGAGTAGACTGTTTAGACTAGGGTCTTCACAGAGCACATGCTCTGCAGTCTTGGCTCACGGCAGGAAAGGCACTCTAATTGGATGCCATGGGTAGTAGGAAGAAGGATTCCCAAAGCCATAGGGCAGATATGCAAGAATCTAACAGAGTCTTGGAACTTCACATGGCAGAGCCAACTGTGAACTAAGTAAGACTTTTCAAACCTAAAAGTGATAAGAACTCTCTGTGATAATGCTTTTGGGGATTGTGAATCAAGTGACAGCAAACTTTGTTCTTTTGAACAAGATTCCACATGTTTCACCCAATCTGTGTTAATCTGCCTTTTCTAGATCACTGTGGTCCCCCTCTTGCTACTTTCTCACCTTTCTTCTGGTCCAGCATAGCAAAGCCAGCTCCATAGTAATTTCAACATCAGGCTGACAATAGTCAACACACAGTCTTTTGTTTTATTTTCATTCTTTTCCTAGTTGTATGTGATGTATATGTACTTGTGTTCGGGTGTCTTTCTTTGATCACTCTCCACCTTAACTTTTTGGGGTGGGGCCTCTTGTTGAGCCTGAGGCTGGCCAATGGGCTTCAGGAATCTGCCTGCCTTTCCTTCTCTCCCCAGAGCTGGGGTTAGACACATGCCACCAAGCCCAGCTTCACTTTACACTCACTGAGCTGTCTCTCTAGCCTGTATACATTCTTAAGGCAGAAAAAGGCTGGAGTTCCTATCAGTTTAGGGAAACTTCACTTTTTTTCAAACCTGTGTCTTTACTTATCAAAACCACAGGATTTGAAGTTCTAGAATAGCTAAATGACTAAACATATTATAGTTTAGCTGTTTGCATTTCTCTACTTGCAGACTATGAGCTTTTCCATAAAAGCCTTTTTGACTAACTCAGTGGTTACAAAGAATTTAGACATTCTAGAAGATGAGAGGTAAAGAAATCTTTCTGATGATAGATATGTCTTCGACAGGAATAAATTCTAGCATTTCAGCCCAAAATTGTGAGCACAAAAAAAAAAAAAAAAAAAAAAAAATCTTAGATACACTCTGGATGACTACTGATCCTATAAAGAACCTGCCTTTAAACATGTGGAATGTGTATGTTAATTGTACAAAAACAGAGCCTCCACTTTTACAGAGGAATGTGGGCAAAGAGCATCGATAGTGGAGACTATACCTGGAATCAGGTTATCAAGAAAGGGCTCTCAGATAGGGTCATATTTGAGTGATGTTCTGACACTCCAGAGGCAGAAGTTAGCCCAGGGAGATCTGGTTGTAAGACCTTTAAACAAAAGTGAGCAGCCATGGATGCAAATCTGAGCACGGTGGATCTCAAAACTCAGAATTTTACTCTAAAGGGCATGAGAAGCTTTGGTGACATTTTAAGCAGGGAAATGAAATGACTGGATTTTGCTTTACCAACTCTGGCTACAGTGAGCAGACAATAGGGACTATCACAAGGGCAGCAGTAGATGGGGTGTTCTGGTTAATGTTGCTATTGCTGTGATAGACATCATGACTATGAACAACTTGGGGAAACGAGGATTTACTTCAACTTAGTTATAGCCAGTCCATCATCCAGGGAAGTAAGGAAGGAACCCAAGCAGGACAAGAACCTAAAGGCGGGAGTAGAAGCAGAAGTTATGGGGGAACACTGCTTATGGGCTTGCTTCTCAGGGCTTGCTCAATCTGCTTTCTCATAGAACCAAAGACCATCAGTCCAGAGGTTGCATGAAAGCTGAGTTTTGGTCCCAGTTATTTCACACTTGCTCAGCATTCATTGCTAGTGAGTGCAGAGCAGATAGGAGCCAGGGATTATAGCCTATTCTCACCAATTAGATTTCAGGCGGGTTTTGTTCTCTGAAGAATGCCCTCACCATCGGTCTTCAATTGTAAGAAAATAATGACAACATTAGCAAAGCTGAAACAATAGCTTTGTTCAGGAACACACTGAAACTTGGGGATGGTGGTATATGGCTTCAAGGAAGCAGAGGCATGTGCATCTTTGTGAGTTCAAGGCCAGCTTGGTCTATTTTGTAAGACATTGTCTCAACAAAACAAGCAAGCGAGCAAACAAACAAACAAACAAAAAACCACATTGGTGAGCAGGTCAAGGGAAGGCCATGGAGCAGTAGGTAAGAGGCATGTGAGGCCCAGGGAGGCAGAAGGGAAATGGAAATCGAGTGTGTAGGCCTGAGATAAAGATGGAGGGAAGATGAACTATATATGATGAGTCTTGACAGTGGATGGACTTCCAGGGCTCAGAAACAAAAGGCACTTGGAGGAAATGTAGAACAGACATAAAGAAGAGTTAGTCATAGATACTTCAAAGCACAGGACATGAAAAGGCGGTACAAGGTCTGTTCTAGACTGAACCCAGGTAGCAAGAATGCTAACAGCAGTATGGGGTTTGAATTCAACACTAAACTTCAGGTACAGCCACCTGAGGTCAGTGGGAGAAGCTGCCAGCATCTGATCTCTGTTTGAATGAGATCACCCAAGAAACATGGGATAGGATAGGAGGTGGAACAAGCCATTCAGTCCCCAAAGTCCTAAGTCTGAAAGGCAGAAGTACCATCCAGAGAAAAAAAAAGTAAGTTTCAGTTTGCAATGGGCTCTTTTTGCTCCATTCAGTGCAGTGGGGTTATTCCCATAGTAAGAGAGCCACACTTTTCTTCATAAATACGAATTTTCCCTTTCTTAACACATTCATTCTAAATTTAGACCTCAAGTGAATTTTAGGAAGATGATGGATGAAATTAGATAATTTACAGTTCATTAATGGGAACAATACAATTTCATCAAAATACGGTATTTCAGGAGGCAAACACTAATGTACTTTGGGTGGTTGCTAGTCATAGCAGGTTAGTATCAAGCACAGAACCCTAGGAAACTACCTTTGGGGAAAATAGGTTGTGAAATGAGAGAAGGGACAGTCTCGGCTATTCCTAGGACTGCTTTCTGTGCTCTCAAAGCAATGCTACTTCATGTGACTGGAGACTTCAGGGTACCAGCCAGTGGACCTTTAGAGTTCCTGCAATCTCTCAGGCTTAAAAATGACCAAATTAAAAAAAAAAAAAAAAAAAAAAAAGGACCAAATTTGCCAGAAAGACAGCAGCATAACACCGAGTGGCAAAGGAGCCTCACCTTTTACCAATACAAAATACAATCTATAGGATGATTCCAGTAACCAGCATTACATCATGGAAAGGTGTGAAATTCAGGATTCTACAAAACTCTATCCTCCCCAATGTAGCCTATACATACAGGGAGCTGAAAATTAAACAATACAGAGTCAGTGGTCAGTAGACATCCCTAGGAAGTAAGCCAAGGAGAGGGCTTGGACGAAGCAGGCTTTTAATGAACCCTAAAGATGAGGGAACATTTGTCTCACCCTTCCTCTTGATGGGTGACTTAGCATCAATATACTGAAAATAAAAAGGCTTATAAAGTACAGCTAGATAACGTAGGCCCAGCTTGATTATCTGGCAACAAGCAGCCTAGCACATTCTGTTTTCATCATTTCCTGAGTATACATGGGTCCAGCAGCCTAATGGGAGGAACAAGGGTTCTTATAGCAACCAGACCTGTATTTGAGTGCTAGATCAACATAGGAAAATAGGTTAACTGTCTAGCCCCAATTGTCATATTGTGTCAAGTGAAGTAAGCACAAGACACTACACTTTGTGATCCAATCACAGAAGACCAAATGCTGAAAGATTCTTTTCACAGGATGAACTAAGAACAGGTAACACCAGGGAGTCAGGTGGTTACCAGGGGCTGGGGGAGAAAGAGGGAAATGTAGTGTTTAATGGTGTATGATTTCATTTTGGGGAGACGAACAAAAGGTCCAGAAGAATGGTGGCAGACTGTTCAACACTGTGAATATACTCATGCCATTGAATTGCATGCTTACAGATGTTGGAAATGCTTGTTCTATGTTACGTATTTTCTACCACAATTTTAAAGAGTCAAATTGTCTCAAAATAAACCGTGAGAATGATAATAATTCACTAATAATGATGCTTTAATTGTTTATATTTAGTTCTAGTTCGGATATCCTAGTTAAAAATTTGAGAGGCTAATTTTTAAAAACCTAGACCTAAGAGCAGAAGGGAAAAGAAACCATGTCTCTAAGGGAGTGCTCACGTCACAATTGCTTACTGAGGAATGTGATTTTCTTTCGTTGCCAAGACAGCAACTGTTGCTGTGGAAACCACACAAAAACAGGGATACTTAACTGAAACAAACTCCACTTACCTGCACAAAGATGCCCTTGCTCTTATACTCCTCATGGAGGCACTGAGAGAAGAAATCTACAAAAGCCTAGGAGGGAGGTGGGAGTGAGAAAGAAAACACATATATTACATCAACCTGCCTGGAGTGTAGCCATGGAAACAACAAAATAATAAATTAACCATTTAACACTATTGTTTCTAGTCATTCCTTTCATTTCAAATGCAGAAGAGATAAAAATACTTAAACTTAGAGGGGTTTTCTATCACAAATGGCATTATCTTACCAAATGTAATATTTAACCAATTTTGATTTAATTAAGAGGTTCCCTCCACACAAAATTATCCCCCCCCCAAAAAAGAAAAAAAATTCATTATATAACAAAGGATTTACTTCCACTTTCTACTTGCCACTCCAGCAGAAACCCAGAGTGAATTCTGTTCAGTTCTGTTTTGCTGCTGGGTCCTGTGACACAGCATGATTTGAGACATGAAGGTGAGAGCTCTCTGATAATACAACTGTAAACCCATCTGTAAATGGTGCAAGCTATTTTTCAAATGTGGACTCAGTATCAGGCTTAAAATGCCAAGTTTAATGACAACCCAAGGAAAGTCTCCATTGGTAATAGTCTACATCCATGAGAACACACCAGATAATGGTATTAACATAAGATATGTCAACATGTTGACAGTATGTTCTAGACACAGAGAAAGTAGACAGATCAGGGGGCTGTGGAGCTGTGTCAGGGCTCATAAGACTGATTTTTCTCAAGTGAAAAGAAGGTGTGTTTTGCACTTTCCCTTCTCTGTCATACTGTAAGTTCTTATTATATATTATGTTTTGCCTATTTTCCCCTAAAGGCTTACTAATTTCAAACAACCAAACTGTTGTTCTTTTCGCTTCAGAAATATTTTCCATGCTTCAGTGAAGTATCTATAGTTGGGGCTATTGACCTATAGGCAGCAGAAGATGCAGTCTAAATTATTATCCTGGCAGTAATGTAAAGAAGTGAATGTCAATGCTTTATGATGATAGAATATACACTTCTAGAAAATTCCTATCACGCTCTAGAAGTGACAACATCTATGAATTCTGGATAATGTGGCAGAATATTCACACTGCCATTGGCCTATTTCTTGTCTCCTGAGTATATGTGTGGTATTAGCAGGATGCATGTCGTGTGAATTTGATTTGTTTATGTTACCAACACTCTGACTTCAGACTCATTAGTATCAGGTTCTATCAATTGGGCAGACTGGCTTAAGCTTGGTCTCTATGGAAAGCATAAATGTCCCTGTTAAAATCAGCAAACTACCAGGGAACAAAATCAGTGTCTGTGATACACTGGTAGTCTGTAAGTCTACATCCATCTGTGGTATTCCAGAATCTCATGTGGGGCATCTTCCTGTCCTTCTTGGTCCGTTGGAAAACTACCAAGCATAGCATTTCAACAACAAAGTTGAAGCTATGTTAACTGCTCATATTAGAAATCACCACTCAGTCTTATACTGACATATTTACTGCAATGCTTTTCACCTTGGTTGCAGAGTAGACGGTCAAGAGTGGAATTGGGAGCAAGCCAGTGGCAGATGAGATGTTGACAATCACCCCTTTAGACCTAGAATTGAAAACATACCACATAAACACATTTGCTTGTGAATTACAGTCAAGAAAGAAACAGAGCAAGAAGGCTGCTGCTCTAACACACGTCTCCCTGTGTCTCATGAGCATGTGGTATGTCTGGCCAGTGAATGAAGCATAATTCAATGAACTAAAAATAGCTCTTCTTTATGATGAGCTCATTTCCCAGTCTTAGTAATCTAAAGCAAGACTGGATCAGCTGGATAGTCTCTTTTAGTTGTCTCTATACTTTCTGGAGTCCTCTGTGGCCACAGCATCAAAAATTCTCACTTACATAGTGGGGGATATATTTCAGTGGTAGAATGCTTACTTAGCATGTGCAGGGCACTGAGGTCAATCCCAGCAGAGCAAAGCAAACTAACACCCACACAGACACCTCTGCTCTGACATATTGTCACACTGTCTACTGCAAAAGTCCATTATGTATGTGTAAACACTTTCCTTTCAATAAAGTCTTGAGCTTCTAGATACCAAAGCTCACTTTTGTTCACACACATCAAGTATTTCATAAACTTTTATAGCAATGGGTGACATCTTTTTAACTTCCCTAGGTTGTGAATGTTTGGGCAAAGAGCTAACTTGAAAATTACATTTCTGTACTTCATTAACTATATTATTTTATCAAAAGACAAAGTTCAACTTTTTCCTGTTCTTTTAGAGACTATCAGGAATTTGTTTTCACAAATAAACGAAATCAGTTTGTAAAAAGCAATGCTATAAACATCCCAGTTGTTAGTAAGCATATTGAGGTTCAGCAAGGGGTGGAATTATGACTTTAGATATATGAAAACTAGCTACCAACTTATTATTTCAAATTCATGCTTTTCAAAGGCACACTGGGAATGGAACCCAGGGTCTTATGCATTATAGGCAAGTGCCTCTACTAACTGACCTATACATCAGCCCAGCCTCTCTTCTCTAGCTACTGAAACCTTACCCCATCCACCTCTGGTTCATACTTCAGCTTCCTTTCCTTCTACAAAATCTGCTCTTGTTCTCTGTCTGGATTTCTATTCCTAAGTTCTGTTTTGTTTTGGTTTTTCCTTTCTATTTCATGGAGCGAGGAAAACTCTAGACCGCTTTTATGTAAAACAGCACAGGAAACAAGATTAAATGGCATATATGAGCTATTTTAGACATAAATCTAAAAAGAAATAATCCCCAAAGGTCACCATTCCATCTGCCAGCCTTTAGGCAAGATGCCACTGCAACCATCAACGGGAAGTCTGCACCCTCTGCTTCATATGTGTCACCAGAAACTAGTAAGTTGTTTATAAAACAGAAGTCCTTATTAGTAACACACACTTTACTAAGCAGTGAAATCCACTAATATCTTGGTGATAAAAATGAATTTTCTAATTTAAGAATGATATTAAGGCTTTTTTTTAAGTTAGAAGGGGCTAATATATCATTCTTATATTGGTATCCTTTTTTTTTAAAGGCAAAAAAGATTTTGTATCAGGTGTTAGAACTCAGTCCTTTTAGATAAAAGAGAATGATAAATTAGCAATAAACATCTAGTCATTTCATTTTATACACCTATAAGAAATTCCTTTGACGAAAGTGGAACAAAACAATTTTTTTTATAATCAAAGAAGGATCCCTTGATAAAAATAGAATAAGAACTATATCTTCAAAATTATTATTTTAGGGTATTGAAAATGTTTCCAAATTAGACTGTGGTGAAAGCTGTCCAGCTCCAAATATGCTGAAAATGACTGGACCACACAATTTAGACAGATGTGTAGTTTACATGTAAGATAAGCCAACAAATCTGTAAAACATGAGGGAAATCTGTTTATATTATAACACGTAGCCTTTAGGCTGATGAATGCACAGGGTTGTGGCTACTCAGGCAACCATGCTTCCCGAGGAACAACTCCAACCTCACCATCACACTACATTAACTTTTAACCAGGAACTGCTCTATCCTCAACTATATGTTGGAAGGTGAGAGAAAGTCTGTCTGAAGTAGATGGAGGCAACACTGTCTGTCCCTGAAGCTGCAGCCTGCCACTGCTGTTTAGAGCCAGACTGTTCTGTCACAACTATGCTAGCTGGAGTGGCTGCATATACCCTTGAACCAAAGTCACATTTTTAATTGTTACTCACAAAATGATATAGAATGTTTAAGGTAATGGTTTAATGCTATGACTTCAACAGAGAAAACGTCATTTGAAGACAATAAAAACTCTTTTCCTATTTTATAAAATAATACCAACAATCCAACATGTCATGATGATGAAGTCATTCTTTTACTACTTCTTGAGGTAACTAGATTTGTTTCTCAAATATCCTACTCTGACTGAAAAATTCTAGGAGCTGGAGAGATGGCTTGGCACACTTAATGTTATTGCAAAGACCCGGGTTCTGTTCCCAGAGCCCACATGGCAGCTCACAGCTATCTATAACCCCCGTGAAGAAGAATCAACACCTTTTCCAGCTACATATGGCATACAGACCTACAGAGGAAACATATCCTTAAATATCAATTAGAAATAAAATAAATAAAAATCCAAAAGAAGAAAAAGAAGAGGAGAGAGGGAGAAAAGAAAGAAAATTACTAGTGGGTAGAGCTACCAGGTCAAAAATTTCAAGTATCTCATAAAAAAATGTTTATATTTCAAAACACATTTAAGACTGTCAAAGTACTATATAAAATGAGACTGCACTAGATGTGAGTAAACAAATACACAGCCAACTCATAACTGTATCTAAATGACAGCAGAGAAAGCATCCCACCTAGCAATCTGTCACACTATTGAGAACATTCCTATTTGTCTATTAAAGACCTTCCTATGAGCCCCCCCCAACAGCATTTAAATCTCTCTTCTCCAAAGAAAAATATTCTATTTCCTTTTGTCTGCATCCCAAATTGAACACTAACATTCCCTGTCACAATCTCTGTAATGTATGTCCTCATGCAGAAGTTGGGGGGTTGAGCATTTGGGACCGAGGGGCACGAAGGACTCATCTTTACAATCAACTACTTTGTCAAGCTCTAATCCTCCATCTAAGCAGAATTAGTGACGTCAAACCAGTTTCCATGGCACAGCCGGGCTCATGACAACTCTGTTTTATCAAGCAGAAGGGCAAATAGGCTCCGCTTAATTGCACACAGAGACAAACATAAACCAAGCTGGTTAATCTCTCATTTTCTGGAGGCTTGGGAACAATGGAAGCACATTAAGAATTTCTGCTAAAGTTCTGTTATTGGAAGATCTGTGTTGCCCATACTTCAACACATTTCCTTGTTTGTTGTAACAACATCAGATAAACAAATAAAGCATCTTCTGTGATGCAATATTCATAATTGATCACAATGCTTACTTATTAGCCATCAGGTGGTGGTGACTTGAATGTACAGATTATTGAGGATCTACAAGAACTGAAATACTACAGAAAAAAAGCAACGATCAACTTCACTTAAGGACATGCCTCTTCATCTCCACAGTCACCTCCTTTATTAGTCCTCCCAGAAGCCAATCAATAGGCTTGTCCAGTCCTGTAAAATTCAGCAGCTTGCACTTATAGCTTCCTTAGTTAAGTCTCTAGGATTCCCTTATACTTGGGCAACACACCCATGAGACTCCCTTGAATTATCACCTGGATTTTTTTTTTTTTTTTTTTTTTTTAAATTGCCAGGCTTTGTTCTATAAATACCTCACTCTTCTTTCAGGGTCTTGTAGCATCCCTGTCCTCACCTCTATAAAATACTGTTGCCATGGAGGAATAGTCTCCTTTGAAAGAGTCACTGACCCAGGACCTCAGTAATGTCCTACCCTGCAGCAGAGGGAAGATGGGAGGGGAGCCAGAAGGTCAATCAGTGTAGATTGCTAATCAGGCACAGAGTTGTGAAATACAGACTCCATCTCGAGTCTTTACATTCCCACTACACATGAGAGAAGACAGAAGTGCACTCTTGCAGGGTCATTAAAGAGTTTTCTAAGCTTAGATGGAAGACGGAAATTGGTGTAGACAGTTCTCTAATTGACTCCTAAGAACACAGAAAAAAACTATCAAAACAGAGCTCAATGTCAGAAAAAGAATTGTGGAACATGGGGTCAGGCATACAATTAGAACCAGCAATCAAATGCTCACACTATACAAATATTGCTTTGTTGAAGAAAGTTTGCAAACATTTAGCACATGAAAGAGAATTACCTGCCCTAAAACACCATAACATGTCATAATTCCACCTTAAGCAGTACAATATGAAAGAGGCTATTTTTAGCCTTTCCATGGTTGTTATGGCAACCACCTCCCAGCTCCAGCTGTACACAATGTTTATAATTCCAGGGAAGTAGAGAGCAAGTTTCCTGATAATGTAATTATGCACTTTCTATATGTATGGTGATAATACTGTAGTCTGTTTGTTGATACTTGTTTAGTGACAGTTGATTGTCTATGGTTCTAGAAGGTTTGGAAAAATCTTCTACATCAGAGATAGAATCACTGAAAGGGAAGAGGGTAAAGAAACCAATGACAAAGGGCTATTTCTAAAGGACAGTGCTTCATTCTAGCTACTCTTTACACCTCCCCAAAGTGGCCTATTTCTATAGTAGCTTCCATAGGATTGGTATTCTCATTGAGTAACAGCACTTAAAGACAGATGCTGGAGCCCCTAAATGGAAGGAGCCTGAGATTCCTGATGGAGTTAGTAGAGAAATATGGGGAAAATAAACCTTTACCTTGATAAGCCATGAAGTTAGAGGTTAATCTACTACTGCAGTCAGCACATATTTACTAATACACCCACTAACTACTAAAGCTCCACTGGACATAGATGTTCCTTTGTCTATCACAAGTACTGATTAATAAACTCCACACCACCAACACCATCCCCCCTCCTCTGATTCCAGCTTTCCACAGCTTCTGTCGGCTTCCTACCAGGTTGTTGCTCAACCTCAGTTTAAAATTAACTTGATTTCTTGAAAGGCAAGGATTGAACTCATCTGGATTCTCCCAGCTAAGCTCTGCTGGATGAGTGTGAATTCCCCTCTTCATGCTGTTTCTTCATATCCAGGGCCAGCTATAACTGGTGGCATTGCCAGATTTTAGAGGTGGCTCTGAGTCTCTACACGTGCCTCTGCATCAGGTGCTTCATGGCACCCCTTCTCACTGGGTCCCCATCTTCCACTGACCTAAACAGCGTGGAGTTAGTTACCTTCAATTAACACAACACACTGGGATTGTCATTGTATGGATCCAATACTTTCTGCTCCAGGATATGACTTCATTTCCCTTTACATAATTTTCACCAATACACTTTTTAAAATTCTTTCATAACACTTCTATAGCAAACAACTTTGATTTCCTTATTATTTATTTATCTGCTTGCTTGCTTGCTTATTTATTTTCTTGCTTACTTTCTTATGGTGTTGGAGATGGAACCCAAGGCATGCTAGGCAAACAATGTAGTATTGAGCCTCTACTCCAAGTCCAAGATTTCTTTATAATGCCATTTACAGATGTCTAAACTCCAATTAAGACAGTGATCCAAATTTCATCCTTACTGGATTCTACTCCGTCTCTCCTAGTGGTCTGGTATGGTTTGATTACTGCCATTTTCATATCCTACCTTCAGAAGCATACTCCGACTGTCAGTCAAATAATCAGCTTGATGGCTTTAAATGGAAACTTTACTAAAGGATTCAGAATTTACAAACCAGCACATGTAGAACAGAATTACAACAAACATTGCTGAGAAAGTTTCTTAATCAGTCATTGCACATGATCAACAAATGTACTTCTAAGCCCCATTTCCTCATCCACAAGGTAGAATGAGGTACAGTATATGGAGGGATTTGATATGCACAAACTGTATGTTTTGCTAGTCTTTTAACAGAGGTAGAACCTTGATTCTTTCACTGTCAAAGCTTTGATGGAGTGCTAAATTAGAATGACAAATTGGTCCAACATTTAAATCCAGCTCTCTTCAGTGGGTTTTCTTTGAATGCCTAGGCAACATTTAGATTCTTCTGAGAAGCAAAAAAAATTTAGTTAAATTTTACACTCAGTGCTGTCTCAAATGTGGAAATGCAACCACATATTTCTCAACAAAAGTGAAGACATTTAGGGTATTCTACTGGCACCCAATTTGAACTGGAACATTGATAAGACTAGTGGACTTTGCTTTTTCCTCCAAGAGTCAGTCTGACATCTGGTCATGTCAAACCATGCCCTCCCCTAGCAAGAATGAAAACACAAGAGGAATGCATCTTACTTTAGGACACTCTACTAATTTAGGCTCTAAGTGGCTATGGCTTTAAGGAGGCTTCCCAGGAATATCCCAGGAACTCTATCCACCCCCTCAAAATAGCAGGCAATTGAGTTAGTGATGGTGACTCAGGCTGGCTTTTTAATCCTGATCTAAAGGAACCACCACAACCCTAGAGAGGGAAATAAAAAAGTCTAGTGGAAAAGGCCTCCTCCACCAATGACTCATGCTCCACTGTGTGATTTGCCTGGTGCTAAGACAGAGTTAGGTTCATTAGTCACTTTAATGAAATTCTCAAAGAAAGGATTCTCCCTATAAATAATAATGAGCTCTGCATCCACAGTATTTGTGTGTGAGTGTGTGACTCACCTTTCTACCATGCCAGGCAGCACCAAGCGTGTCACCTGCAAGAAAAAACAAAACATTCATGATGACCAAGGACACAGGCAACAAAAGAGTGAAGGACACTCACCCACACCAAAGAGAAGGGAATCATGAATCCATTCATCACTCTATAGGGAGAAATTTATTTTATACATGCTATATAATTTTACTGTGCTAAGAGTACATAAAGAGAAACCACTGGGAAAGTTTTCAGTGAACGTGGCTAAGACTAGCCTTGTCTGAAAAGTAAGGCTGGCATGGGCACTCAAAAAAACAAAGACTCTACAATAAGCAGACATCTCTTAAGTCCTTCCCAGAAAAGATGAATGTTATTACATGTAACAACATCCCACTTACCAAGATGACTTAGGTTTTCTAATATTAAGAGCTCAAATAATATTTTCTGATCAAAAAAGGCTTTGGGAAGGGAGAAATGCTAGCAAATGACATTTGACAAATAAATAAGTGCATTCACTGTTTTCTGTGGTCCAGCTAGCTGTTAGTAAACACACCCTTAACCTTAACCACTTGTGGTCTCTATTGAACAACAATGAAAAGGTGACATGTGCAGTTGAATAACTTCATAATTACTGACCAAACACACACAATGATGAGACAGGGTACCACTGAACAGTTCGGGATATTATTCTCCAAGAAAAATCAGAAGTGCAATCTTTGACTCAGCTTGGATCAGTTCTCTAAGCAACACAAGAAGTTGAAATGCTTGGTAAGCGTAAACATTTTAAATCTTTTATCTTGAATTACATCTTACACCAATTAAAATGACAAAATTTTGAAGAAAAGGTCATGAGGACTTTCTGCAGCAAAGTGTGCTATGTAGGTATACAAAGGTCACTCTGGAGATGATCATGCACTCAGTGAGTGAGCTCAAGTGTCACCATATCATTAAAAAAAAAAAAAAAAAAATCAGAGCAAAGAACTATCTTTAGAGTTCAGCAGAAACATTTCAACAGAAGTAAAGATTTGACCAAATCTTCTGGCCCAGATGAAAAAGGATAAACTGTAGGAGCGACTGTAGGCTGGAGCTTCCTGTATCCTCGCCTTTTTACAGTCTGTTTTCACATAATTCATCCTCATTGGGTAAGAAGATAGGACAATCATCTGTCTTTCAGCATTTCTCCTTTCCTTATTATACTGCAGATGAAGTAAGTTTCAAAGCACATAATCTCGTTCCCACAAACATGTTTTACAATTGCTCTGACAACTGCACGTGGCCTATAACTATTTCATAAGAAGTACAACACACAATGTCTTGGTCATGAACTCAGAAGAAGAAAATAGCATCTCTTCTCCACCATCTTTTCCTCTTCTTATAGATATAATATGGATCCAGGGGAAGGAGCCATCGCGATGCCAAAGTGAATACCATATGTGGTAGGGTGACAGGATAAGAGGCAGGATCCTTAGTGACAGAGGAGCCACTGTGCAGCACTCTTAGCACCTGCTCCAGTGAGTATCCTGATCACTACCTGCTCTGAACCCGACAGATGGCCCATTTCCATTCTGTTTATGTCCTGAATGCATCTTTGTTACAAGACTTAACCAACATTCCCTTTTGTTTGTTTTGCAGTGTTGGGTGTGAACCTTGAGGCTTTTGGCCTGTGCTAAGCAGCCAGCCCTTTAGCCAAAATTCTAACTAGCAAGATTGACCATTGGTAAAGACTAACCAATGTTAACATTTTAAGACCCCTCCCCAAAAGAACAGTCCCCTCCAATTTTCCTGATTTGCTTGACCCAAATCAAAATGTCCCTACTGGGCTTCAAACTAGATGTGATAGAACCAAGTCAAAATAAGGCTGGCTTCAGAGTCTGTCTTTCCAACACAATCACTTTTTCCTTTTCAGGTTAAATATGAATTTTAACTTTGCTGATGTGTTTCCCAAGATTTGTCTTTCCAAAGGCAAACAACAGAATTTAATACATAACCAATGAATGTTAAGGCAACTGTGGTGAGCACTCAGGCCACAATTTCATTCTTTCTTATGATAGTGTGACTGAGCTATGTTCTTCTTTTCTGAAGTCCTAATATGTTAAATGAAGATTTAAATACACGTTATTACATTCTTAACTTATAATAAAGATGTGTGTGAGACAGAGACTCCACAAACAGCATACCACAGAGACCTCTGAAGGGACACTGGTGTCCCCCACAATCACACTGCACTACCTTTTTAGCATCCAATGCTACCCTTAAGCATGGTATGTCCCATAGTTTAGAACCAAGAACAGTAACACACTTCAAGGTCATCCATTTCAACTGACCACACAGAAGTTTCTGGACAATTCTTTCAGTATTTCAAAATATTTCAATTGGGGTCTCCTTGGGGTAGTGGAATAATTCCAATATTAGGTTTTAATAACTAATAAAACTCTTTATATTTACAAAAAAACAAACAAACAAAACTTGAACACTCAGAGCAGAAGAATTTTACAAATTCATAGTTTTAGGAAACCTCTAATATAATTATGTGGTTAAGAACCAAGGAGCTGAAATCATAAAGTACTCTTGATGTGGCTTTACCATATTCAGGAGATAAAGACACTCAAATACTCTCTGCATATCAACTGAGAGCCGGGAATAACATCTTACTCTATAAGGACCCATCGTTCTGTTTTATCTGCAGCCACCAGGGTGGGTAGAAAGAACTCAGGACCCACAATGGGATACTCGTATGAGCAGACAGAGGGCACTGGTGCTTAGGAAAAGGAGTAGTTACAAAGCAGGCAGAGCTTCATAGAGTATGCTTTGGTTAAGTTATAAAAGCATAAACTGGAGTTTAGTGGGCAAAAAATAAATGGCAGGAGGAACTGAATGCAAAAAGGCAAACTGTGAGAAAATACGATATATGTGATTGAATTTCCAGACTTATTTGATGGACTTAATAAAGAACAAAACATAAAGAGATGTAAAATGTACAACTGATTAGATGTGTCATGTAGCTTGCATCTGTAGAAGACATGACAGTCAGACACTCACATAAGTAAAACAGGTGTACTGTGAAATATTTCATTGTAAAGGATGGGTTGTATGCAACCTTAATAGTATCTGAAAATGGTTTCCTTTTATAAGCGCCACACTCTAACCAACAGAGCTAACTAGCAAACATCAGTATCCGAAAGGGATCCTTATTTAGTACATTTTATCAGGAAACTATAATGTTTAGCTAATATATTAGAAAGAGGTCTCTAAGCATTTTCATACAAGTTATTCAGTCCCCCAAATCCTCAGTTCACTAGAAATAGAAATGAGGAAGACAAAGAGGACTAGTTTAAAAGTGTTCTTACTTGTTTGTGTGTTTGCATGTACTTACATGTGTATCCATCTACATTAAGAAAATGAGACCTGTTAACTGCATAGTAGCTACATGGAGCCCAGAAGGTAGCTGTTTAGTGGCTGTTGTAGCTTTCCTACACACATGGTGGTAGGGGATGTGTGAATGAAATTTGTTGGCACCAATTAAACTGGAGAATTACCAGCTCAATCAGAGTTTTGGTTGAAATATTGGGGAACTATAAATTGAAGCTATATTTTTTCTTTGTGCCATATCATGTGTCTGTTCTCAATGAAAAATTATCCAGAAGATTGTCAGAAACGTGAAACCTCACATAATACAATCACACTTACAAAATTATGTAAACAACATGTAAAGAATTAAATGCCATTTTGATGACCTTATAGGTACTGACATGACCAAATATATTCTTTATAAATGTAAAATAAAATAACACGTTTGAGTAACTCAATGCAAAAGAGTAACAATAACTATGGCTAGTTGCTAAAGAGCCAAGAATATGCATTGACTCAATGGTGAACAACCCACCAGCAAAGACACAAGTCCTGTCTGGTAAGTGACAGTCCTTAGGGCTCACCAGCATCTCCTTTTCACTTGTGTGTGTCGTGAAATGGAAGCTCATTAAAAAAAAAAAAAAAAAAAAAAAAAAGTCAAACAGCAATGACACTGACAAGGCACAGAAAAGTTAATTTGAATATGCTTTTATAAAATCAACTAAAGCTCTGACCATTACCTTTCATGCCAATCAGCTTCTAAGTCATAAATCCAACTCCAGGCCTTCTTTATTTGAGCACATGTATACGCATCATTTAAAAATATTCAGCACATAAGTAGACAGACTTAACTGTGTTTACATTAAGTTAAATTCTCTCTAACATCACATTTACATAAGGCATTTTAAGTTGTTAAGTCTCATTTTTACTTGGCATTTATTGACTAGTATCTTAATATATGGGTATCTATACCCATATACCAAGCATTGTTATAAAATCTCACTGTGCATCTGCACTCCATTTCACAGCTCACATAATATTTCTGTAGTTAATTCAATATGCTAATTTTAGACCATCTGCAGGTGATTACTGTGCCAGGAAGTTTGTTGTTTCTCTTTACATATTTCTAAAATGATGTTATTACAACTTGTGAGTTTGGTGGTTAAGAATATTAGGTAAGTAGTAATAAACATGACTTCTTTTCACTTGAGATTGCCTGGACAAATGCACAGAAGAAATTTTAATTCCATTCTGTGGAGGTTTGAATGAGAATGTCCCCTATTGGCTCATGTATTTGAACACTTACTCCCCAGTTGGTGCTGTTGTTTAAGAAGGCTTAGGAGTCACAGCCATGTTGGAGGAAGCACGTCACAAGAAGCAGCTTTTCGAGCTTAAATGATTTTGTAATTTCTAGTTTGCTCTGAGAATGGTTCAAGATGTGAACTCAGGCTAAGAATTTGCTGCTCCAGCCCTTGATGCCACACTTTTCCACAATGATGGACTCTTACTCCTCTGAACCGTAAGCCTAAATGAATTCCTTCTTCTATTATATGATGCCTTGATCATGGTGTTTTATCACAGCAACAAAAAAGTAACTAATATAGTTTTCCCCAAATTGGATGGAAGTAACAAGTGAACTTTTATGATGACAACTTCAAAAACTGCAGGAAAAACAAGTGTTTCATAATTATTCATATACATTTTTAGTAAAGT